TCTTCAACATTTAGCTCTTATTGGCAAAATTGAAGACAAACGTAGGCAAAAATGGGTAGGCCCAAAACAACCAGCTTAGGGAACCTAAACAAGTATGTAACGAGGAAAGATCAGGGAAACGCACAGCATTCTACACTTATAGAACGGGAACTGTACCACGTGACCTGTGAGGAATTGAAGACCGAAAACAATGGCGTCTTGAGGGCACGATCTATCGTTTTCGGAAGTAACCCTATAGCTTTTAAAGCAAGAGCGGCTTTTACAAACGAGTGAAAAGTGGAAAATTTACTGTCCAGTTTGTAATTTTGAGTTACAGAATTCACTGTGCAACTAGAGATTGGAATCAAGGTTTTAAATTGTTGTGTTTTTGGGTGCAACAACAGAAAAAGCAGACATAGAGAGTTTATAAATAAATATAAGATCTACAGAACTGTGAAAAAATCCGTAACACGATGGGATTGTTCACAGCACTTCTACTTCTAGCTTCCCACACACATTTTGCATACGCATATGGCCTACGTAATTTTTTAGTAGCAAAACTTGTTACAAGAAATTTGTTTTACACTGAACATATTTTTTCACTAGATCTAGATCTAATTAATGTTCTCAAAACATGCGTTCAATAATTAGCTTTATGTCGCCAGCAGAAGTAGAAAAAAGGACGGACTTGCTTTTAAAAGAGATTTAGCTCCAGCTATAAACTTTTTAAAAATCTGTAGAAACCATTGACTGGGATTTTTAAAAAAATTATATCTGGCTAGTATTATTAAAGAATTTTCTTTAAAGAAATTTCTTGAATAATATAGAACCTATAGATGTGTACAAATGTTTGAAAAAAATACTCATCGGTTAAGACGAATTGATATAGATCTAAGTCATTGTGTAAAAATAGGAGAATCTAGATCTAGGTGTTCGATAGTTCAGTAGCCTAGATATTTGATAATAAGTTGCGCATCAAATTTTTGACCGCACGCTACAGTAGTAGAGATAGCGTATTATTTTCATCCGAAGCATTAATTTCCGCATCCATACACCTTTTTGGGCCTTTATAAGGACATGTAGTCCTACTTTAATTATGTTACTTTCATAATTGTTTTTGAAAGCATTTTCAATTCCTTTCACTTTCCCTTCCAAAGCGCGGGCACATATAATTATGATTATAATTTAAGATTCCAAATCTGACGAATGTATTATTAAATAGCGTATAATGCTGAGTTAGCCAATGCATTGCAATGCGCGCTATTATCAATTATTGAATTGTAACAAGACTTTAATTTGATCCGAAACAAGAGACCACTTATTTTTTTATACGTGTTCATGAATGTGTGTTTGTTTATTGTGTGCGGGGATTAAAAATTAAAGATTAAAGATTCCAGATCTGACGAATGTATTTATTATTATAAAATAGCGTAATAGTGCTGGATTAGCCGATGCCTTGCGATACACACTTTTATCAATTGATTGAATTGTGACAGGGCTTCGATTTGATGCGCAACAAGACAACACTTATTTTTTCTTATACGTGTTCAAAAATGTGTGCTTGTTTGCTGTGTGCGGGCATTAAAGATTCCAGGTCTGACGAATGTATTTATTAAATAGCATAGGGCTATAGGGCAGGGGTGGCCAACACATTGCGATACGCATTTTTATCAATTAATCGAATTGAAACAGGACTTCAATTTGATCCGTAACAAGAGACCACTTATTTTTTTCTTATTCGTGTTCAAAAATATGTGTTTGTTTACTGTGTGCGGGGATTACAGGGGGACAAGCCGATCCCTCGACATGTGATCCAGGGTATGGGGATACATTTTTCTCAAAATGTACACAGCTCTGAAATCCTTGACCAGTGATCACTCGCCATGGAACTCTTTCTGTTGTGACTGTAGACACTTCTTCATTATCACATCTGAATGAGCCTATCATTCATGAATTAGAAATCACACTCCCAACACACAGAAAATGACTTTGAACATAATTATATATTCAGGAAACATGCCAGTTGCACTCTTGTTTACTTTGTTTTGCATTATTGGCTTTTATGTGTAAACCAATATTTTGAGGCCTTTTCCGCATTTTTGTGTTTTTGGCAGCATGTACAATAGGCCTATGTATTTTATGTGCAACCGACACATTCTCCAATCTCTTGTATTTGTTAGACTCGCATGTGCTTTAAACAAAGCATGTTGTTGTACTGATGCAAGCACAGAGATGAATTTTTACAGTGAGAAATAATACATTTCCTCAATATAAGCTCAATTTATTTATCTCTTTCTAGTAAATTGGAGAAAAGGCTTATATAGTTCTTTTTTGCTTGCTTTGGATGGCCTTAAGTTTAATGACAATATTATTGTAGTGAGCATGTTACTGTCAGCGTCCCCTTATCGTAGATCTAGTACTAATCAAGACTATATATATATATATATATATATATATATATATATATATATATATATATATATATATATATATATATATATCTAGATATTTTGCCAACAGAATTAATGTTCATAATTAATGTTATTATCAAGTGCATTGTGACTGTGAAGATCTTTAGTAGATCTAGAGATCTAGATCTATCTAGATCTAGATCTAGATCCCATCCCATCATTTTAAGAAAACAAAAAACCCAACAATACAAATACAAAAACATTGTAACATTGCCAATTATGACATATCGTTGGCAATAAAAATGTACTTGACTATTTCACTATATTTCCTCTTCGAAGAAAGTTTTAAAATACTGATGTAATGTGTCTTCCAAGCCCTACCACTAGCATCAGCGTGCATAGCAACGCGAAGCCTAGCTGTGCGGCGCAGCCAAAGGCGCCCTCAACAGGCCGCCATGTTTTAGTTTCAATTCCTCATAGCGAATCGGCGATCGCGAAGAGGGAGTTCCGCTTCTATTAGTGTAGAATTCTGTGGGGAAACGTAGCTTTTCTCTTGTCCACTGGCACTTCAGACAAGTGTCTCTGGTGTGTTCATAGCCATTAATGACAACTTAACTACCCGGTAGTTGAGTAGTAAAACTGTCGTATTAGCATGTGAGGAGGCGCTTCGCCGACGCTGCAAAAGCCCTCAGTTCGATTCCCGTATAGGGGAGAATTTTGATCGGGGTTCCGATTCTTCGTGCTGAAACGATGTATCCTTCTTAACCTGGCTTGTCTTTAACATGCAGGGTCAAATTCCACCCATTTAATAATCTAAATTGTGTCTATGATGTAAAAAATGCCTAAATTAAAAGCAATGTTTAAGCATAAATTTAAATAGGCTAAAAACGTTTTTAAAAAGTTGTTTCATCTTCGTGAGTAACGTTTCTTTTTCTTCTTTTATGTATGATGCGGGAGAATGCACTACTCTCTTTTGTGCATACCACGACAGCGCAATGAATTGACAGCTTGAAAGGACGAAAGAGAGCTGGCGTTTACTGTGCGTGTAACGCTAGTCGACGAACGTGATCTGCCGCGGGTAAGTTTGCAATTCGAGTCAAATTTACTTCTCTCGTCCTTCGAGGAATGATTGTTCGACCCGACCCGGTGTCTTGACTGGGAACTGAATAGTCACCTTTCGAAATGACCTACTCCTAGATTGTGCCGTGTCCAAGGATGTTAAAATCGTATATTTCGTGTAAAGCAATTATTTTTATCGGACTAAACAAACCATATGCCGTGAGACTTGATAGTAAACGAAGTATGAACTACATATTTGAGATCGGTTAATAGACAATTGTGTATGAGTGGAGAGGTATGTTTGTTCTTTTGTCGATATAAGATGGAATTATACTCTTGTCGGTGTCAAATACCCATACTTCCCACAATTCTCTGAGAAAGCCTGCACAGGGTACCTTCAGCAAAAGAGGCATCTGAACCTTTACATTTTGCTCATCGGAAAATAATCTGCACGCAGTATAGATATCACTTACTACAAAATGAAATCCAACCAGGTTGAGACCCCCCCCTCCCCAATCTCATTTTAAAGTTTAGGTTAACGTTTTTGCCAGAGTTCCATCTAAAACAATATAAGAAATAAAATGAAATAAAATAGACATGCTTAGTGGTGTTACGAAAAGAACGCCCGTAATGTCCTAAACCTATTTGAATTGAGTACGCCAAGTATTTTGAAATGGCCCAATAGACCGGTTAGGCCTGTCGGAATGGACGTTGGAGAACATCATCCAAAGATGTTACAGTGTTGTTATACATTGTGTGTCACCAGCTGTGGGCAGGGAAGAACTCCCGCAGCTCCGTTTCAACTGCTATACACACCTCGTGGGTAGTAGATCTACTAGAAAAACACTTATGGCGTTGAAGTGAAATCGGACTATTATCAAAATGATGAAGTCTAGGAAACCAACTTTTTTTTTCTCCAATTTTTTTTACTTTTCTAAAATGCTCAGCACTTTTAATAGCCACTGAAAAGCATTCCTCTGTGTTGGTTTAACTGAAAATGTTTATCAAAGGCGAAAACAATAGTTTTGCATTTTCCAAAGACAATCAAGATTTGAAAGCTACCGAACATTGGTGGTCATTTTCTCTCTAATTGTACCTGTTCCACTTGGGCGCCCCCAACCCCTTGAGTCGCAAATATCACGACTTCTATTGAAAAGCAAGACAAATGAACAAGTTTTGATATTGCTACCAATAACTCCGTATGCCTTACTGACGACAGCCTGAAATCACTGTGTCTAATAATGGCACTCATAAGTACGTAGCATCAGTACCAGTACAATAATATCAAGCTCCTTGGTATTCAAATCAAAGGATCTATGCGTTTCAATGTGTTGAAACCCGAAGATTTGAAACAGGTTTTTTTAGCGTGTTTCAGGTAACAGATGCTCGCTCTCCATGTGGGGTCGGCCACGTATGCGGGCGTGTGGGCGAGCTTTGACTGACCCGCCAACTGGACCATCCAGGGAGTGTCACCTTCACGTCCTACTTTCTTTTGTGACGTCGACCCATAGAGACACGCACTTGAGCTTTAGCCTTGCTGTGCAGTTTGGAAAATGTTTTCTTAATTTTTTTCCCTTGCTAAAACCAAAGACCAAATGCATGTCGGAGTCTTTCAAGTAGCTGTATTTTACTAGTGTTATTTAGATTAAATCAAAATATAACTAATCAGAAACGTTACAAAAATCTTCTACAGTTTCGCTCTCAGATCTTGCTCAACACGATTTTCATGGAACGAGAAAAAGTGGTGTGTTCTGTGGTGCGAAGATGCCTACCGTAGGAAAGGTTTCTTGTGGACTTATAACTTTTATGAAGAAAATCAAAGTTCCCGTAGCAGCAACATTCCTCTTCCTCACTGTTATAACTTTACCACAACTCATTTTCTACCAGACCTGCTCTATCAGCAAAGACGGAGATTCTCGAATGCTGGCTTCAGAATCTATGATGCTCAAAGAAAAAGATAGCAGAAAAGACTCCGCTGTCATCAGCGAAACCCCTTTCAGAGACTCGGAGAAATTTATAGTATTTGATGCGGAAAATTATTCTGGAAACCTAGACTTTTTAAACAATACTCCGGATGACTGGACCGTGGTTATAGTAAACTTAAAAAACCACACGCGTTTGTTATCATGCCCCTTTTGTCACCTCCTTACGGATTCTTGGATTAACAAGAATGTACTGAGGAATATTTCCGGAGAGAGCCGATCCAAGCTGGAGTATGCGACCATAGCCAAGATGGCAGCCTACTTGTTTGTCTTGTCGCGGGGTGCAGAGTGGATCTACACCACAGACAGGCGGGAACCCTTCCCTGCCATGGTTCTGGGCCCGCTCGCCAAGCACGAGGTAAAATGTGAATTGTAATAAAACAAACCACACACATGCACACACACACACACATACACACACACACACACACACACACACACACACACACACACACACACACACACACACACACACACACAAACAAACAAATAGTTGATTACTTGCCGCTCGAACATTTAAAATGCTGCTAGAGAACAATTATCTTAAAAAAAATCTCAAGTTATAGAATATTGTTAGCTAGTTCAGGAAAATGAGATCACTTGAGAAGTTATCTATTTAATCTTAAATTAAACGTCAACGCAGCAATCAGATAGGCCCAGACTAGAAACAACGAGTGCATATCTTGTTAAAATAATAAAAAGAAAGAAAGAAAGAAAAAGGTAAGAATGAAAGAATGAACAAATGAATGAATGAAGGAAGGAAGGAAGGAAGGAAGGAATTTAATAAGTGTTTGTACTAGTATGTGTCCGTCTTTCTGTGTGATTGTGCGTGTTTATGTCTGTGTATCAGTGTGTAAATAAATAGCTAAGCATCTTAAATCTGCCTGTGTGTCTGTGTGTTTGTGTGTTAGTGTATGTCTGTGTGTCTGGGTGTGTAGATGGAGGGAAGGGCGCCTGTCCGTACAAAGCCAAGCGTGGTTACATAACACATAACCATTAGTGAGCTTACCTAAAGACTCGAAAGTGGGTACACACGTATCTGCCAAAAGGTTCTTTTGAAAGCCAGTTCAGCTGTCTCGCATTTTCAATGTTGATCTACCAGACGTAACTGACACCTTACTTTGCTATTATTTCTGAGCGAGAAGTTTCGGGTTATTTCATTTTGTGAGCCATGACTTTTTACACCGACTGAACTCATCTTAGCATTACTCTTGTTTTATTACTTTCTTTTTAATCGTTTCTCCTTCCTTTCTCTCTTTCTTTTTTCTAACGATTCTGATCACATTCACCCTTTACGTAACGTACTTGCTAGCATTTAAGTCTTAGTTTTCTTTCTTTGTCTCTTTCTTTTTTTTTAGGGTTGGGGGGGGGGGGTCTTTTTTTTTTTTTTTTTTTTTTTTTTTTTTTTCTTTTTTTTTTTTTTTTTTTTTTTTGGGGGGGGGGGGTTCTTTTTTCTTTCTTTTGTCTTTCTTCTTTCTCTTTACTTTTTTCTAGTTTTTTTGGGCTATTCTTTTATCCTTTTTTTCTTTTTTCCTTTCCTCTTCTAATCTTCTTGATCATTAGTGTTAACATTTTTTCTTCTTTTTTTCTTGTTCCTTTCTTTTTTTTTTCTTTCTTTCAATTTCTAACTGACCAGGTCACGCAGATGTCTATTGTGCACAGATTAGGTTCTTCGCCTTTCTGTGACATACGTGAATTGATTCCCGAAAATAGAAGAGATTTTATGAGTTCTCCGTTGTCTTCTGTTTTCTTCTTAAAGATTTCAAGGGTTGTCGACTGTTGGTTCTTCAACCTGAAGTGCAAATGATTTATACTTACGTATGTGACCGTTTCTCCCAGTTTATTGGGCCCTTAGCCTTCAGGCAACCATATTTCTATTTTGAAGACTCTCTATATCGTTTTAATACTGACTATAATATTTTCACATTTAGTAAGAATTAGTTTTGAATTTTGGCCAGATGGCAGCCGAAGCCTACTCTTATCAATGTTAGGCCCACTGAGGGATCTTTAATCACAACCTGCACTCGGGACTTCCGATATTTTTGGCCTTTATCCGAGAAGTCTACGTGTTAGATCTTAACTACCCTAAAATCTGGCTGAAAGACAGGAGGTAAGTGAAGAAGCCAGGAGCAGCAGTAGAAGGAGTCAAGAATAGACAAAGCAACAGAGAGGGGGCGGTGTTAAGTGTGTCGAGGAAGGCAGGTAGCGGAATAAGATTTGAGAACAGGAAACAGAGGGTAAAGAAATATTGCAGAGAAGATTTTATTTTCATCGTTGACACGATTCGATCTACAGATCGTTTGACATAAAGTGGAACACCGTCCCTCTAGACCACGAGAGCCTCTCTTGTGTCATCCTGATTGGATGTCGTAAAACACGCGCACACAGCCTTCGTTGCTCTAGAAATGTCTTATAGAAGCAGCCTGAATCAGTAAGCCTAATAAATGCCCTGCGTTGATTTCTTTTAGTGGGGAGAGGCGGGATAGTCCTGTTTTCAATGAGTAGGTCATCCTCTTAAAAGTTAATAAATCAGGCCCACCCATCTTTTTTTTTTTAAGTTTCTACAAACTCTCTGGTCCCACATTTCGTCTGTTAAAAGACCCTGTTAGCTCGTATTACATACTTCTGTCCCACATGGCGCATAGGTATGCAACTAGCTCTCTCAAGTCATCGCAATCCTCGGCCAGTCTCTCAAGCTGTCTCTGGGGTTCTCCAGTTCTCACTGCCTGTATGTCTTCCTCACGGCATGTGTTCTTTGGGCATTCTCTTTTCTTTTTCGCTTGTGGGTTCCAGGTAACGGCTTGATTGTGATATTGACTGAAGAATTATTTAATCTGTAACCAATCAATTCATCTCATGATTCTTGATAATAAATGTCTGACGCCCTATCAACACAATTTAGGTCATAAATGAGGCGTTCAACTTCCATCGTGACAGTCAGGGACAACCCCGGTTAATTAAACGGGATACAGCATACTGGCAAGCAGACAGAGATCCTCGATAAAATAAGTTCCCCTTTCAAGAATCGAACTTTCGTCTTGTGCGTGTACTGATAAAAAGCCTAACTCGACGTCAGTGACGCGGATAATCCGTGTGCATTGCCTCCGTCGAATTGTTTTTTCACCAACAGATGATTTGTGTCGACTTTTACCTCTCGTTCTGACATGTTGAAAGTAAATAACAGCCTGTATGTATTGTATCGGTGTCCGACTCTAATCGTTCATTCGACAAATTGCATCAAACTCTGTTCTTTTTTTCTAACTTCACACCATTTTTGTAGGTTATTCATACCATTAATTACCATTGATGATATGTCATTCAAAAGAACACTCTGCCCAGTACACAGCATTTTGGCCAATGATATGTAGACAATAGGAAAAAGATCACGTTTATCCAACATTTTCGAAAATCAACATTAAACACACTACACGGCCAGAGCCATACCTCAAGGATTTTGTTTTCTTACTGTGGAGTAGGTACGAACAGCTCCAGTGTTTGGAGATCATGGCGTGGTGTTTGAGCCTTGCAGTCACTTCATGGACCCTTACACCTGGCATGGGACGGGAGGGCCGATCAAACAGAGCCTTTACCATGTCAAGGTCGTGTCAACAGAGTCTGTCATAAAGCCCGTAGGCAGCTGTCTCAAAGAGGGTTTGAACGCTGCCACTTGGAAGGTAAGTAAACATTCACTTACAATGCTTATTTATAACCCGTATTCTTACCAAAATTAGATTTACACTCCATGGCTTTTGTGTTATATTTCGGCATATCTTTCTGAAATGTTACACTGATAACGACGTAGTTCGTAATGTTACTCATTTCATCCAAAGAGAAAGGAATAAGGATTTTGACCCGCTCCTCAAGTCAGCCTGATGGGATCTAATGTAGGCACCAAATGAAGAAATAAACTAACGTGAAGATTAAGCCTGCACATCGTTCTGACTATTTCATCATCATCATCATCATCATCATCATCATCATCATCATCATCATCATCATCATCATCATCATCATCATCATCATCATCATCATCATCATCACTGTACTCTAGAACAAGCAGAAAAGGCAAGGAGAGTCCTGAGTAGTTTTGGTCTATTAAGTTAAATTAGAATGCGTTTGCAATAATTTGGTTACTCTTCCTTATCATGTATCTCCAAACAATTTTCCTGTTTCCTTATTTTTCCTTGGAGCAAAACAATAATACTACCTTTTTTATATAATTTATTTCTACTCATCCTACGTATTTTTACTGTCTGGCATTAATTGACAAGAATGCTAACATTTCCCACATTTTGTGGTCGGACTGGTCAGTCTGTGGTGTAGCGGTTGGCGCCCTTCGCACGCAGAAGTTGTGAATTCGATTCCTATGTTTAGTATCTGTTTTCCTCTGGAATACAGCATTCCTCTGAAACGCTGTTAGGCTCTGACAGACGGAGGCAAAGCAGCATGTTTCCTAAAGTATTTAAGTTGTGTCGATGGGAGAGTAAAACAATTTACATTTACAAATAAAATGATACGCATACCCAGTTGCTAATCACACGGCAACATAAATTGTTGCAAATAATTTGGACACATACGTTCAATGCTTCTTTGGTTAACATAACGCACCATTGAGCACCTGGGTGAATTTATGTGAACGATGCATCATCTTCCTGCTTCATTGAACACAGAAGCTGAATTCTTAAATTCTAAATATCGTCGGCGGAGAATTCTAACCGTCCAACTCCGATTTCGTAAATTTTGCAGGAGAGACAAAAAACTGAATTCAAAGGCTCCTATGGGGATTTACTATCTTTAAATGCGCTAGACTGGAATACATGACTCTACTTTGAAGTATTTAAAACAAAATTGCCGAAATTTTATTATTTTAAGTGCTAAACCAGAGTTATACGGATAGACCGCTCAGTTTTGGATTTCTAACCGTCCAAGTGTCGACGAACGAATTGTTCGTTTAGAATTCTCCAACCCGGCGGGGACGCCACGCGCTTCATTACGTCTAACTCAGTCATCGTGACACGTTAGTGTTACCGAACAACTCGAAATGACTAAACCTGCAGTCAATCCAACAGGAAGCCTACTATAAAAGTTCTAATTAGTACTACATAGTACTGTAGATCTAGAATCTAACAATAATACTGTTTTATTATATCTAAAACTGAACGTCGCACTTTATTTCCACATAATTCTAATTAGGCAATGGGCTTGTCAACAGATTGAGTGCGTCGTTAAGTTTTTACTTTAAAGATACTAGATCTATTTGATTCTCCATTCTCAAGGAAATTGTGAGAAGATTGGTTTCTTGTCTAGCTACAAGAGAGAGAGAGAGAGAGAGAGAGAGAGAGAGAGAGAGAGAGAGAAGGGGGGGACTGAGAGAGAGAGAGGGGGGGGAGGGGTCTGAAAGAGACAGAGAAAGAGAGAGAGAAAGAGAGAGAGAGAGGGGGGGCAGAGATAAATTTCCGTATACGAATTGTCTTCATGGAGCTTCTTTTATGGCTATTTTTTCCTGTTTGAAGTACAGATTCTGTCGCAGTGCTTGCTCTCTAGTCACTAGCATAATAGGTCTTTCATTTATCATTTTCCTCCATGTTTTCCTGTCCTCGGTTATTTCTTCACAGATGCTGACATCTACTCCAAGCTTAGATAATATGTTTTTGCAGATGTCTTTGTACCTCAGTTTTGACCTTCCCCTTGGTCCCTTTCCCTGGGCAAGTCAGAGAAATTGCTTCGGAATCCGGTTGTCGTCCATTCTCTTGACATGGCCCAGCCATCTCAATCTTCTTAAACACAGGATTATTTGTAGGGTTGATTCATTATGAGCGACAACAGCAGCATCACTGGTAAAGAAAAGGTCTCGTATTCTTGTTTGGTTTGTTGATTTTGGTCTTGGCTCGAAGTCGAGCCAGATTGAAAAGCGACCCATCAGTTCTCCAGTGGAAGAAACTGAAATGCTTCTAACTCTAAAAACATGGTTTAACTTGGTTGGAAGACTCTAGAAGTAATATGATTTTTTTAAAGCTCAACTAAACCTCATATAATGCATCCCCAACTAATGTATGGCCTAATTAAATAACACATTTTACATAGAAAGTCATCAAGATGAGGTATGCTATAGCAGCATCCAGTGTCAACAGGAATGAATTATCCTCTTGTCCAAGCACCATTATGAGGCTTTAAAATGCTCTACCCAATGAAGCTTAAGCCCTGGTTGGCTAAAAATAAACTACATAAACCAAAACACAATACACTGCATATCAAATTAGACTTAACCGTGGGTTTTGACTTGCGCACTGGTGACGTACTCAATTCTAGATTGTCATAGAACTTGTGGTAGTCAGATGGCACAACAGACTTCATTTCTTGCATGTGTTATTAAAGTTCTCTATGGACGAATTAAACTTTCTACCCTGGTACAGAGGCAGTCCCTTCATGTCTTTATGGAGAATGTCTGTGGACTCGCCACGCTTCAAAGGCAGGTGTGACCAGTCATCATCAAATCTCAGTTTGTATTTAATTTGACCTTCTGGTGTGTAAACTCTGGTTGGTTAGTTTGATGAAATCAGAAAAGATACAATGAGTCAAATACTTGACTACATATGGCTTCACTTTCTTCCATTAGCCTGACATAATCAGCTGGGTAGTAGATGTGCTGTGAGCACTGTCCAACTCCATCTGTGTATAGCCCTTCTCCAGGAATTTTAATGTTACAGTTTACCATTGACAAAGCTGAAATGTAACAGTGCAGAACTCATTGTGACTTTGCAGTTCTGATACAACCACATCCATCTGAATATAATGATCTAGAGTCAAATCAGATGACAAAAAATCAGCCACACAAGGAGCAAATTTATTTGCAGTCAGAGCACCTTCGCGTTCATTTGAGACATAACATACACAGTCCTTGCTCCCTAGTTCCTGTACTGTGAAATTGTGTACATTCAATTTCATCTTGTAGTACAAAGCAGAAGCATTGGTGCGTGGATACAGCAGAACTGATTGCTGGTCCATTTTGATGTACATGTATTTGATTTTGGGGCTGCCCGTGCGTTTTTCCTTATCTATTGTCTTTTTTGTATGCCCCCTCTTACACATTCCCCTCCTCAAAGCCCACACAAAGATCACACCTATCTTTTCGAGGATGGAACCATGACAGGTTCATAGCATTGATCTTCTCTTTAAACTTGAAGGTAGAAAGTACCCCCCCTCCCCCACTCATACTTTTCTTTATACAAACGGCGGTACACTGCCTGTAAGCTCTGGAAAACAGGTTCCAAGTATAACTTACTGGAGTCCTTCAGCAATAGTGAGACGGCAACTTGGGCAGATCACGAAGAAACTGTTTAAGTACCTTTGATGCTGTAGTCTCCTCCCTAACCCTTTTTCTCTGAACTGGAACCTCACCCTCTGCTACACCCAACCCACATGTGAGAACAATGTGAACACACTAGTAACAAAGTACAGGACTTAAGAAGAAAACCGTGCACTCTTTGACTTTGGCCCCATTCACTCGCAGATGGTACTTCATGGACCACGATCTTCTGCTTTCTCTCTCCTTTTTCTCCACAGGCTCGACACAGTCAACCAACCCTTTAACAAAAGCAACCTTTTCTGATTTTACATTTATTTAAAATCAAACGCCTCCATCAGAGCAAAACTTTATCGCCGTGATCCACAATGGCGAGCTACCTAAACGAGTTAGACGGTTAGAATTCTTCAGTCACCGAAGCCAGTCGGAATATACGGTTAGAATTTCTCTTTAAAACAAGACTTTTGTTTGTCAAAATTGTTCTAGATTTTAATAGGATGTAGACATTCGTTATGTTAATCTATTTTAAGGAAAAAAGCAATTCGAGAAAATTTGGAGTTAGACGGTTAGAATTCTCTGCCGACGATATATAACTTTATGAAGCGCTGGCCAGGCGACCCTTATCTCCCCGCATCTACCATTGTATCAAGTAGTTGGAATGTAGAAACAACTACTTGTAATAGCCTCTTCTTAACAAAAAGTGAAGCTGTAAAAGTTCAACGCATCGTCCAGTGCAACATAGTAGTGTTATTTAAGTGGCTGAGCCTCCGAAACAAATGTCCATCTCCGATAGGATTGAGTCAAAGGAAAAAGATTGTGTAAAATATCCCCCCCCCCAAAAAAAAAAAAAAAAAACAATGTCGGACGGAACTGAGCTTGGAACCTCTGAACCGTAATCTCTCGATGTGCCTGGTAACCTCACCACTTGACTGTCAACACCACTTTTCTTCTCAACGGTGCCCTAATAATGATATTATGAGCTGGTAATATAATGTAATGGGATTATCTTTTCACAAGGAGTTCCCTCTGTATTAGAGAATAACTGACGGTGGTTCGGCTAAAGGGTTCAGCATAAGGACCTGTTGCAACTTGACGTTGTTGTTTGTTCATATTTCTGAAACAAATAAGAATAACATAACATATTACTGACCAAAAACTGATGTAAGTGATTTCGGAGGCCATTAGTCATTGTGTTATGGGTCAATATGTTTAACGCTCCTTCTATTAACTCTGCAAGGTTAATTTAAGACGTAAGGCGTTCTAATTTAACCACCATCTCATACAGGACCGAGCTTTAAAACTCCCCATCCAAAAGCCCAAGTTTAAAACCTCCGTTAGGGTTCAAACCGGGGCCATTCACTCCGTAGTCCAGCATGACACCAACAGAGGTAACGGTACACCCTCTCGTGAGGCGATGAGCTTGGACTAGTAATACTTATTTTTTAAAGAAGAAAGAAAGAAAGAAAGAAAGAAACAGAAAGAAACAGAAGAAAAAATAAGTGTAGATATTATTTAACCTTATCGGCATAATTTGGGTCATTAAGGAGACGGGTTGCTTTAACCCTGACTCTCAAGGCCAACCCGTGCTGAGAAGGACAATGTGTCAGAAAAGAGGAGATGCTCGATAAAAATTATCTTCATTCGGAAGTCGAACCACGTCTTCTGAAGGTGACGATGAGGGGTCTAGCCGTTACATCTCAGACGCTGTGAAAAAGAAAGAAACCAAGGCCGATTACACCAAATACATATCACAAATATTGATGTACCAATATCTCAGATGTTCGTTTGGTTTTTTTTATAACGTCACAGCAACGTTTTACTGCACTTCTTCAAGGGGGGGGGGGGGGGCCTCCTTTCCCCGCCTTTCCAACCCTTATTTAATATCTATAGGTGTAGTTCATGCGGTTATCATTGAATCCACGGGCCACATCCGTCTTTACCAACCAAAGCTCAAGTACACATCACTATCACATCTTCGGCAACTCTTTGTGCATAGTGGCGTGGGATAACATACTTGATTATATTTTAGGGGATTTAGACAGATCATTTCTTTCATTTTTTGCAGGCTGCATTTGACACCAGAGCTCCATCCCCGTACATCATGCCAGGAACGTTTGGAACTGTTGACTTCCGTAACGTACTGGTGCCCAAAGTAGCGACTTGGACTTTACTGGCCTCACTTCCCAGGAGCAAGCTACTTTCCACGTCCATTTCCACAAACGCTCTTCGTCTCAATCTCTTAGTCCAGAGAATTCTGTGGGAGACAAAAGGTCAGATCGGATTTGTGCCAACCGAACACTTGTCTATTCCGACCTGTCCGTCTTGTGAAATCAATTCAACTATCCATCTCCTAGGCCAAAACCTGCGAGACAAATTGTCCCGCTGGCGTTGCAACACGTTCGAGTCTGTTGGAGCCTGCCTCGTGATTTTAGCTTCAGAGGAAATGTTACAAATTGATGCAGTTACCAATTCACTTCTAAAGGTGTGGGTCACCTTACTCCCAGCAGATGCCTTCCCTCAGAGATCTTCTTTAACGGACGAGAGACTAGGAGAACGATTTGTGGGGATTCCTGTGATCTATACAGCAGCCAAGAGTATGCACACACAAGTACGGAATGATTCTTTGCCTCCAAACAGCTTCGCCACCTTGTGCCGAACTTCAAAAAAACCCTACCTTGCTCAAATTCCAAAAAGACATCCTATTGACGACATTCTTTTTATTGTGATTTTTAACTTTCCTCAGCTAGTGCAATTCATACCGCATCTGGAATATGCTTATGGCAGGCATTTCAAGCATGTTATCTACTGTGCAGAGAGTTCAGGAAGTTTCGAGAAGTCTTTCCGGGTTCCCTCTGGGGGAACCAACCCCGTGTCTTTCCTGGAGATACCACATTTCCGGGGCTACTGGGGTCAGAATTGCATGGCAGCAGCCATCAAGATGAACTATCGAGTCACAGGTCAGTCTATCTATCTATCTATCTATCTATCTATCTATCTATCTATCTATCTATCTATCT